CCTCATCACGACGACATAGCATCCATGCAGCTGACAAAGAATTTTGCTGAAATCCCTGGTTTATGTTTTTTTAGTCTCGAATCCGACACCTTTTGTGAAGACGCACACGGGACAACCCCCCCCCCCCCCACCCCCCCCCCCCCCCCCCCCCCCCCCCCCCCCCCCCCCCCCCCCNCGCTTGTCGCAAACACAAAAATAAAGCAAGTACCGGTACTGACTGCAGGTAGTGTTACTGCGTTCTGCAAGAAGCCATCAATGATTCCAAGGAAGGGGCAGTAATAAGTCTGGTACGAAAGATAGGCCCACATCTAACCTACTACAGGCTACCCATTCCTCTATCTTGTTGTGAATAGGCCCACATCTAACCTACTACAGGCTACCCATTGCTCTATCTTGTTGTAGATAGGCCCACATCTAACCTACTACAGGCTACCCATTGCTCTATCTTGTTGTGAATAGGCCCACATCTAACCTACTACAGGCTACCCATTGCTCTATCTTGTTGTAGATAGGCCCACATCTAACCTACTACAGGCTACCCATTGCTCTATCTTGTTGTGAATAGGCCCACATCTAACCTACTACAGGCTACCCATTGCTCTATCTTGTTGTAGATAGGCCCACATCTAACCTACTACAGGCTACCCATTGCTCTATCTTGTTGTGAATAGGCCCACATCTAACCTACTACAGGCTACCCATTGCTCTATCTTGTTGTAGATAGGCCCACATCTAACCTACTACAGGCTACCCATTGCTCTATCTTGTTGTGAATAGGCCCACATCTAACCTACTACAGGCTACCCATTGCTCTATCTTGTTGTAGATAGGCCCACATCTAACCTACTACAGGCTACCCATTGCTCTATCTTGTTGTGAATAGGCCCACATCTAACCTACTACAGGCTACCCATTGCTCTATCTTGTTGTAGATAGGCCCACATCTAACCTACTACAGGCTACCCATTGCTCTATCTTGTTGTGAATAGGCCCACATCTAACCTACTACAGGCTACCCATTGCTCTATCTTGTTGTGAATAGGCCCACATCTAACCTACTACAGGCTACCCATTGCTCTATCTTGTTGTGAATAGGCCCACATCTAACCTACTACAGGCTACCAATCACTCTATCTTGTGAATAGGCCCACATCTAACCAACTAAAGGCTACCCATTGCTCTATCTTGTTGTGACTGTAGATAGACCCACATCTAACCTACTATAGGCTACCAATTGATCTAACTCGTAGTTGTTTTGTTCAATTGCTGACCTTCTTTCACCCATCACTTGTTACATTTTGACCATTTGTTTTATAAGACATAGTTGTATCATATCGGCAGTCAGTTCTTTTTTATTGCCCCTATGCCGGACTTTTAAAAAGCCGTTGGGGGATGATTTTGATTTTTGAGTTATTTAACACCCAGTGAGCACGAACGCTGAAATTGTGCAATTTTGTCTTGAAGCTTAACCCAAGACTCCCAAGTTTAAATACTTAAACGCTGGATACATAACATGACTAACTTTCTCAACCAAATGTCTTTTAATTGATCATAACATCTGACAAGTGGATGGTGAAAACAACAGACATTTGATTATAACCATCTCATATAATGATGGAACCTAGAAGATAAATCGTATGAGATCAAGTTTTAAAATAAGGAAATTATGAACGAACGGTAAAGGATGACTAACAAAAAGACAACAGGAGACAACGCGCGTGTCGCCAAAAAGCCTTCTTTGTTGAACAAGAAAAATGAAAAATAAAATTACCAAAGTTTATTTCATATTTCATTATTCTTGTAAGTTGATTTTATTAATTGTAGTTTAAGCAATGGAAATAAACGAAACCTTTTTATTTCATTATTTTTTGCAGTCTGTCTCCCTTATTACCATAGTTAAAAGAAAAGTGATTTTTTTTTTTTTTTTTTTTTTTTTTTTTTTTTTTTTTTTTTTTGGTTTTTTTTTTTTTTTTGTTGTTTTTTTTAATTTTTTTTTTTACCGGTAACATAAAATAGTCTAGTAAAAGTGCGAAGCTGGTGGTACTTATGTTATGTGGCTTCTGGTTGGTTAAATTGAGTATTATAGTAAATTATGCCATTGAAACTGAATGTAGAAGTTCTCAAAAATAACGAACAGAGAAAAGAGCAATGAAGAGAGTCCTTGAAACTGGTCACCTGCTCGTCTCCACAGCGGACTCTCTGATTGGACAGAATGAATAGAGATGAGGCAAACATGAATGGCAACTAACAAGCCAATCTGAGACGGGCTCTTGAATCAATACTTCACAAATCCCCCCACCCCCTCTCTCAATCTGAGTGAGTCTTAGGGTATCCTTATGTTAAAGAATTTTAGCCTACTAGTTTAGTTTGATTCCTCATCTTGAAATTGTCTTACAATAAGCGTCAGATTCATGGTTTAGTTTTCTTTCAAGTTCAAGCCCCGCGAGTCTTATTTCAGTCATTGATTAAAGCCTGGTATAAGTGGCAATGACGTGCACTGTTATTTTTGATCAGCCTGTGTAATGTACCCCTTAAAGGCCCTATATTACAAATCCATGCGCCGCACTTGCATAAAAAAAAAACAACAACACAATGTCAAAAATAGCAGTGGGCCTAAAGCTCTTATGTTCTCAATATTAGATTATTTGAAAGCGTAAAATAATTTGTGTGGTTTTTTTTTTTTAAATACTTTATCGTAGTGTTCAATTGTTTTACTTGCGGATTAAAGGAAAAATCCGTATTTAATTTTATTATGTAGCATAAGAATAAGAGCGAAAGAAAATCAAATATGCACCCCCCCCCCACAGCACCCATGCATATTTGGACATTCCCCTCGGGAACCCCCTTGCATTTATGTAAATGACGATTTCCTCCCCCTCGCCTCTTTCTTTTTTGCCCCACAAGAGATTAAAGGAAAAATACGTATTTAATTTTATTATGTAGCATAAGAATAAGATCGAAAGAAAATCAAATATGCACCCCCCCCCCACTGCACCCATGCATATTTGGACATTCCCCTCGGGAACCCCCTTGCATTTATGTAAATGACGATTTCCTCCCCCTCGCCTCTTTCTTTTTTGCCCCACAAGTTTCAATTTATTAATAAACAATTATGACATACAGGGTATCGAGGAATTATAGTCAAATTCATCGCAAAGGTGCGTGTTCAAAATAATAGCACGGATTTCTTTCCTTTTCTCGACCGCCCTCTGGTGGAGTTGATAAATTATGAAATAATTGGTTCTTGTGCCGAACCAACTAATTACGTCACAACTGTTGTTATGTCTGGCGAGTTCATTTTTTTTGAAAACCCAAAGCAACAGTATGCAAGATAAAGTACTGCGGTGGTATTTGATTAGCCTTTGAAAATAATTACAAATTATGGATTTCACAGCCACTATAGAATAGACTATTGGCGACAATTATTTGTTTTGTTAGAGATTTAAAGAGTGAGGTATTCATGGGCTATCAGAATTTCAGGATATTGCAGAGTGTGTGCATAAATAACGTCCTAGCACTTGCAACGCGTAAGCCAGTGCTCACAAGTTGATTCAGCACCAACCTGTAAACCAGTGCTCACAAGTTGATTCAGCACCAACCTGTAAACCAGTGCTCACAAGTTGATTCAACACCAACCTGTAAACCAGTGCTCACACGTTGATTCAGCACGAACCTGTAAACCAGTGCTCACAAGTTGATTCAGCACGAACCTGTAAACCAGTTCTCACAAGTTGATTCAGCACCAACTTGTAAACCAGTGCTCACAAGTTGATTTGGAACCTACCTGTAAACCAGTGCTCACAAGTTGATTCAGCACCAACCTGTAAACCAGTGCTCACAAGTTGATTCAGCACCAACCTTAAACCAGTTCTCACAAGTTGATTCAGGACCTACCTGTATATTATGGTAAACCAGTGCTCACAAGTTGATTCAGCACGAACCTGTAAACAAGTGCTCACAAGTTGATTGAGCACGAACCTGTAAACCAGTGCTCACAAGTTGATTCAGCACCAACCTGTAAACCAGTGCTCACAAGTTGATTCAGCACCAACCTGTAAACCAGTTCTCACAAGTTGATTCAGCACCAACATGTAAACCAGTACTCACAAGTTGATTTGGAACCTACCTGTAAACCAGTCCTCACAAGTTGATTCAGCACCAACCTGTAAACCAGTGCTCACAAGTTTATTCAGCACCAACCTGTAAACCAGTTCTCACAAGTTGATTCAGCACCAACCTCTAAATTATGGTAAACCAGAGCTCACAAGTTGATTCAGCACCAACCTGTAAACCAGTGCTCACAATTCAGCACAAACCTGTACACCAGTGCTCTCAAGTTGATTCAGCACCAACTTCTAAACCAGTTCTCACAAGTTGATTCAGCACCAACCTGTAAACCAGTGCTCACAAGTTGATTCAGCACCAACCTGTAAACCAGTTCTCACAAGTTGGATTCAGCACCAACCTGTAAACCAGTGCTAACAAGTTGGATTTAGCACTGACATAAAAACCAGTGCCTACACAATCATTTATGCAGCAGATAAAATTAAAATCAATGTATGCATTTAAATGTAACAGAATTGGAGCGAATGATATTGTCAGTATGTGTTTCATTGAATACAACCGAACACATCAGCCTTGACATTCAGAGCAGCTTCCAAGCTGCTACACCCACATGACATAACATCCTCATAGACTTTGTTTATCTTTACTAAGTCCATGAAATAAATCTTAGTTGGTCTTAGGTTTAGTTCAACAATGCCATCCTCAAAGCTTCTACAGAAATGATATAGAATGCTACTGAATTGCTTCACAACGTTCTTTGTAGTAACTACAATGACTACACTTCCAAATGAGTTACGGCACCCTCGATATAACAGCACCTGAAAACCCAACGAGGAGTGTTGCCGAGTTTCAGGCGTTGCTGCTCTGTTTCAACACTGATTGGCCACCATTTTAACAAACGGGGTATTCAGCGGAGCACCTGTGTGCAGTTTAGTTTACTTTGTTCAGTTGTGTTTATGGTTACTTGAAAATCATGTAACTGTCAGCCCAACTAAATCTCAGTTAGTGTTAACAGTCAATAGAGCATGATACTTTAACAAGTAGATAATACATTTAGACACAAAACAAAATGGTTATAATATCTGTATTAAATTATGAATGAGTGAAATACAATACAATATTGTGGCACTGTACCAAATTACTTGCAGAATGTATTAAAAATACATTATTTACAATGACTTTTTGAGACTTATTTAGTATTTCTTTTATAAAGTACAGATGTATTTATCACTGCATTCAGTTATATCAGATAACAAGTAATAAGGTTGGATCATAAAAATAAAGTACAGTATAATCTAAAATTAAATAGTTCTTCATAATTCTGCTAAGAGGTATTGATAGGTGTTTCAAAGTTAAAACTAAAGTCATTTGAAGAATGTTCATAGCTGTAGAAATTGATCCCTTTTTTTTGAGTCACCTTTGCCTCGGTTGCACCAAGATTAGTGCTGTCATGACCTCGTGTAACATCTCTGCCACCATACTCACTCGCATGGTTTGTGACTCCCTGGCCATGAACTGACGTTTCAGTGGGTTTGCTGTCAAAACCAAAGCAGTATGAATTGTCTGAAGGGATGAACTTGAACGAGACTGCATTGCGATGGGATTTACTGGAGCACGGCATCATTACGCCGGCATCCAGACTTTCATCTTCAGGACACAGAACTGCCGATATCTGGGTGTTGTCAGATAATTGATGAGGTGACTTATCTGTGTTATCTATTGTCAGGTCAGTCAGGTTGATCCCCAGAACACCATTCTTTTGTTTTGTGTGACTTTGTTTAATGAATTTTGATTTACTGAAGACCTTGCTATTTCCAAGTGGTTGAAACTTTGAGTGTCTCAAACCTAAGTTGTCAAAGATATATATATATTTTTTAAAAAGAAAGATTTGACACATCAATTTTGTTACTTTATTATTCATTACACAGTACATCAATTTATCAATAAATATCAACATCAATAAACTAAAAAATATTATTTGACCATTATTTGCTAATCAGTTGTATTTTCCTAATCAATTTATTCTGTAGACCTAAAACATTATTAACCTATTTTCATGACTTAAAGTACTGATGTCATTATAGATCAAATTTAGTACACCAAGTAAGCTAATTAGTTTTACTCAATAAATTAATCCTAAAACTGTCACATGCATTTTTCTCTAGTGTCAAGCCAATTTTAGCATTTTCATTTGCTTGTCAAAATGACAAAATCCCATACCAAATGATTTCAGAGACCCTTACAAGTATACATTTTCTAAAAGTACAATGGACAAGGTATCTTATGGTATGAAAAGAATTTGTTTTTATATTAGGTGTGCTGATTTGACTTTGACCTTTAACACATGAGTAAAATTTTACTACTCAACTTCTGAATTCAACTTATCCATAAATTGTTTAAACTATCATAAAATCAAGTTTTTGAGATACTAGAAGCAAATTTTCAGAAAATGTCAAGTTAAAGGTAATTGAAAATTGTAATTAAAATATCTGTGAATTTTGTTCATTCAATACCTTCAAAGTTATGTCATACAAAATACAAGGGGAAAGGCATGATATGAGTTTAAAAATTCCTTTTCAAATGAAGTTATTAAATGAGACTCAAGAACATACACAAACATATATATCTTTAGGGTAGGTGTCTTGGGATCCAATCATTTTCTTTTCTGTTCCATTTCCACCCTTTCCCAAACAAATTTGGACTGTGATTTTACGACTAAACTTTGAGCTAAAATTGTCAATATTTGACTCTTATGTTTCCATGACTGCTAGAGCTATACTGTCATTATTAGCTTTTAGACTCTCTCTGAAAGCATTGCTTTCATTTTAATCCATTTGAAATAATTCCAACTGAGAAAGTCTGTTGATTTTCCAATCTAGAGGGGGACCCTCTCCACCATCAAACATTATGGCGGTCAAAAGAATCGAGCAAATGTCACACCCGATTAATCACACAAAATGCCCTGATAAAAGCATGTTAACACACAGACAGAAACATAAATAGAAAGCAAATTCATTTATATAGAGTGATTTCCCCTTAACCAAAAGAGATTCACTTTGAAAGAACAATTTTGCTGGCGGCCGATTATATCAGCCATCACACCACGGAAATGGGATTAATGGCCAATGATCGGCTATTATCACAGTTATAGGGTTAAAAATATAACTACTGTGTAGGCTAAACATTATTTCACTGTGCATGTTTAATGAGAAACTTTAATTGATTTTCACCTGACAAGGTCTTTGCTTCATCTTGTTTCATTTTCTTCCTGTAGTCCCCTAGAGCATTCCGCATAGCTTGCCTTTTTTTAACCATAGGACTTTTGGAGCTTTTAAGAATTTTTAAAATCTTGATTGTCTCAGCAACTGGAAAAACACATTTTTAAACAATTAAATTCATATCAAAATCTTCAGCAGAAATATTTGACAGAACCAAAGCATTAATCTCTCCAAACTAAAATAACTACATGTTTCAAAATACAAATGTTATGATTTTAACCATTTTAAAAAAAGAGAGATTTCAATAAAATTTTAGTTATTAGCTTGTGAAGGACATTTTGTTTTTAAAATTGATTTGATAAAATACTCAAGACCTATGAATATTTTCTTGTCAAATTGTATTTAAAAGTCAAAATTATTTTTACTGTCATGATAAAAGAATAAATAGACTACATGCTTACTTTGTTTTGGGTCAAGTGTTTGACGTTGTAAGCCAACTTCTAGCTGGGTAATACACCAATGGAGCTCTTCAGCAAATCTGTTCACCTATTATTGATTTTATAAACAGTGTGACAATGAATTATACTTATAACAAACATAAAAGTTTTTGGTTTTTACAATTTTTACCTACTTGTGGTTCAAACATTTATAATGGTTTGGTCCGTAGTGATTGCTTACCTTCAGATACAAAATCCTAACCATATAATATATTATAAATGTCATCTCCAAGGCAAAATTTTTATTAAAAAATGCGTAACAAGGTGCATTTACAGTTTGAAGATAGGATAAAAGTTGTAAGAAATACACTTTATACAGGATTCCAAATTTTTCAGAAGAAAACTACACTCAAACATGTTAAGAAAACTATTTAAATTACAACAAGGGTGTAACTTGACTTGAGACAAAATATTATTTAGAATATGTAGGCTAGAAGTCTTCATCAACCGACACCATACAGTTTAAATAATGAAAGAAAAAAAAAGAAAAAAAGAGAATTGAAAAGATAGAAAGACATTTAGAAATCTGTACTCTGAAAGGCACATATCAAAGCTAATGGTTTCACTGGAGTCAACATAGTGAACCATAGATTTGATATTTTAGGAAGACAAGATGAGAGAGAGAGAGGTTGCTATAGAAGAAAGCAAGAAGGGATTGGGTAATCAAATGAAAGAATATTTGTAAAATAGCATAAATCACAATGATATGATCCCCAGTTGACTTTAGCGATTGTATAACATCTGGGCAGATCTTTAGGGGCAGGTTTTGGTTCCATATTGATAATTATTTTAAACGTATAAAACATAAGATCTTAGCGTTGCACCAGTTACTTACTTCTCCGGAAGTTGTCTCCATGTTCCTCTAACAATTTTCTGTTGTTGAAAGTAAAGTTGTTATATTGAGCATGAGCATGGCATAGTTCAGACTTCTAGTAAGCATTACTAAGTTTAAGCTTGGTCTTGGGGCTAAAATATACCTCCACATTTTTGTTGCTTTACTAAATATAAAGCTTAACTAAAAACTCTAACTCTTTTACGTTGTTTCATCTGAATTAGACTCGTTTAGACATACATTAAAATTGTATATAGTAACACAGTCTACTAGTAGCACAGCCAGATTTTTTAGCTAGGGGGGGCAAATATTCAATTTACAAAAGGGCTCATACACAAAAAATAAGTTCAAATATTCAATAATAATATTCCTACGGTAACAAAATATTTCCCTTTTTTATCAGATTACTTTATCATTTCTTGTGATTATTCAAAAAATGAAATGAATATTTTAATTTTTTAGTAGCACAGCCAGATTTTTTAGCTAGGGGGGGCAAATATTCAATTTACAAAAGGGCTCATACACAAAAAATAAGTTCAAATATTCAATAATAATATTCCTACGGTAACAAAATATTTCCCTTTTTTATCAGATTACTTTATCATTTCTTGTGATTATTCAAAAAATGAAATGAATATTTTAATTTTTATTTTGGTTTTTAAAATTCATATATTGATCGAGTGGTGGGGTGGCTGTGCTGTTCCATATATTTTAGAGTGAGAGATCAATTTCTTGCTAAAACCTGACATTTTTTCTCATAACAAAAACCTGCATCTTATGATTAGGTGTGTCTTATATGAGCAAAAATACTGTAAGCATTTTTTAACATGAACGAACGGTACAGTGGGTGATAGTGAAAGAAAATTATTGCTGTTGATATTCATATTTCACAACTTTAATTCCTAGTTGTAAAAACAATTTGGTAAGTGTTCAGTAATCACTACATGTACCAATGCAGGCAACTTAAAATTTAAAATCCTATTATTTCAATGTATTGTATATCAATCTGGTGTTTATTTTTTCTAGAATCTAGATACCAGGTACTCAACTCATCCACTGTTTGCCAGGCGGAAGATAAGAATAAACAATAATCTTTTCGGTCCTACCTCAGACAACTAAAAATGGTAATGAAGCCTTTTTACATCCGACGGGTGATAAAACATTGGACAACTTTTCATTTATGATAAAGGAAAGAAAACCACTGGATATAAATTATAACTTGCTCAGTGCGGCTAATGGCTAGGCTGTGGACGTCTTATGTAATTTTTGTTTACACAAATCATCAAAACCCACGTCTTATATACGGGTGGATGTTATGTAAAAAAAAAATTTACACACATCGTCAAGCATGTGTCTAATATATGGGTGCATCTTATTATATGCCCAAAAATATGGTATGCAAAAAAAAAAGGGGGGGGTGCTATTCTCCAACCCCCTTTCATTTGATACCAAATGTTGTCTTACAAACCCAACAATAATATTTTAAATATTTTTTTAATAAACTCAACCTCTCACTCTTTTCCTGGTCGGAATAGCCACTTCGTATTTATGGTAATGGTAATAGTAATAGGATTTTGGGCTAATGCAAAGAGATGTCACAATGACGTGATTTACATGTTTTGTTAATTTTCTGTTTTGGATTCACTCCCCTTATTTTTTTTTTAACAGAGTTAAATTTTCCTTAATATGACGATGGCATGTTTTAATGAAATTTTTATTGGTTAATCAATTATTAATTTTAAAATTTCATTGGTCGGGTAATTATAATACTTTAATTTTTCTGCCATATTTGAAAATGCATTTGGCATGGACGTCATTGTATTTTATTCATTTTCTGGATATTCTTTTCGGTGGAACCTGAAATAAAGTGTGTAAAAGTGTATTCTTTGAAACTTTTAGTTGGGTTTTCATTATTTATTTATGTTACAATTATTTTTTTATTGTTTTTCTTCATTTTTATAGTGTCCTAGCCACACATGTTTTTAACTTGTGGCTTTAGGGCTACTTTTAGGAATTGGGTTAGGTTTAGGGATAGATTTAGTGTTCAGATTAGGTTTAGGGATACATTTATGGTTCAGGTTAGGTTTAGGGATACATTTAGGGTTCGGGTTAGGTTTAGTGACAGTGAATTATTATGTGTATGTACCGACTAAATTACGTGAAGAAAAAGAGCAACTGCAGGTTGCTCACGTATCTTGCCAAATATCTAGACGGATACAATAAATTAGCCACGTTCACCATGAAATTTATGGACATTTTTTCATTAAATTTTTTCATTAAATTTTTTTCATCATATTCCTAATTTTTGCAAACGTGAGTTATTTTATTTTTACAGGGCCGTCATCTCTTTGCATTTACCGGATTTTGTAGTCTAGTTACTGTTAATAGTCTCCTAGTAACTAGTACTACTAGTCAGTAACAATTGTAGTCTAGTCCGCTTATATAACTTTACTATTTACGCGTTAACATAATCATAAGGCATAAGGGATTACCCAACAGCTCGACGGTAGTGGTAGTCCGCTCCGATAGTACCAGACTCAGTACTCGTTTTAGTGAAAAGTGATGCTCCTGAGTTATTTTAAGAATAACTAAATCTTACAAGAACAAGCCATCACACTATTCATATTTACGTGGTCTCAAATGTTTAATAAAGAACCGACGCCCGTTAGCCAAAAAAGTTACTTTACATTGCAGTTTGCTTAAAATGACATAGGGATACGTACGTTATCAAAAGGCTACTGAAGTTTGATTGAAATATTAACAGAGTTATAGTTCTTTGGCAGTACTTATGATCTTAGCGTAATGAAGAGTATATCCTGCGCATGCGCATTGTGCCAAGCCACGTAAGGCAACTTTGACAAGTGCCGGAAAACAAAATAACACATTAAAAGGGTATATATTCAGTAAGCGTTTTGGCTTCAAGTTAAGATCCAAAAGATTTTTACTTCTTAAAAATGGTAAGTCCTTTTATCTCAACACATTGTGTTTCTGTTTAATAGTGTTAATGGTCGGTGGATGAAACGAATTTAGCTGGGCTATAACTTTCAAAAATGTTTTTTTTTTTTTGAGAATTAATTAAAATTAAACACTCTTCTGCCGTGGGATTTTTTCATATTCATATCATCACATCAATTATCAATCATTATGATACACTTGACCATTTCAATGAAACAATGATGAATTGGGACCCATACCTAAAGCTAGACGTAGACAAAATGGAGCGAATACAATGCAACACAGTGCGCTTCATCACAAGTGACAAAAATCCACCACCACTACTACTACTACTGGCTTAGTCACTGATCTCTTAAAAAGATTTAACATCCCCTCCCTCTCTCAAAGACAGACGAGAAAAGCTACGTCTAACATTTCTCTATAAAGGGGTCACGGGGCAAGTGCCGGCCATTCCATCTAACACATATCTAACCCCGCAGATATATAAATTATGCGAAGTGTCTACAGGTCAGGCGCGCCGGACAAATAGTGCGCAAGATATAAGTCCGGCGGTATGTCACGTGACCGCCGGACGGATAGTGGTTTTTATAATTCCAAACGAAGTACGGTTTTGAAGATCTTGTGTGGTCTAGTGGTAGAATGGTCCCTTGACGATATTATGAAATGAGGATCAATACTGGGGATAGGATCGTTTTTTTTTCTCCCATTTTAATGTAAAATATTTTATACTATATTTATATTATCATGTTCAACAACAACAGTAGTTTCATGAGAAGTTTTTAAATATTTTGTAACAATTTAAAATGAAATCTTTTACTTTTATTGGTTGCCTACTCCACACTGGCCCCAAATTTATTTTATGGATTACTGGTGCACAAACTCAAATAACAAACTAAACAAAAATGTTTACAAGCCACTTTCACTTAGGTTTTTTTCTACTATTTGCATTAAGATACTCAGTACATTACTTGGTAGAGAAAAAGATTTTAAAATTAAAAATAGTTTTGAATTATTCGCAGTCACGTGACAGGCTGACCGACAAGATATCTCTCGCCACTTTGTTACGGCGGTCATGTGACTTGGTCGCCGGACAAATAGTGCGTGAGATAGACGTCCAGCGCGCCGGACGTGTAGACACTGCCTAAATTATATGATTTTTCTTGAATAACGAGTTCTAATCATCATGTTTTCATTTCAGCCTTTGCGTTTAGATGTTAAGCGCAAGCTTTCAGCTCGTTCTGACCGTGTCAAGTGTGTAGATCTTCATCCATCAGAACCATGGATGTTAGTCAGTCTCTACAATGGAAATATACATATATGGAACTTTGAGTCACAGGTACACTCTATTAAGTGTGTTATCAACCAAAATATTTGACTTACTGTTCTCTGAGTCATAGCAATTCGTAGTCAAAATTAGGATTTATGCAGCAGTACTGTTTTCCTTATTATACATTAAAATGAGATGGATTTAGGCTATAATTATTGATATATTACAGGGAAGTATGAATTTCCAAAAATAACCCTATTTCCAAGACCAAAAAATGCTTCATATTATTTATTTGTGTTATTAGTCTCATTTTTATTTTACTTGTTGCCCCGACTAGACCAAATTATTTTGCAGGCTCGACATTCTCCACCCAAGCTCTGTATATTATTTGAATTAATATTTATTTATTTATTTATTTAGGCATTTTTATATAGCGCTTACCTTAAAGCTCTAAGCGCTTTACAACTATTAAAAACATGTAAACTAACTAAAATAAAAATGAGACATTAGGATAGTAACTACTATACTATAGAAACAATTAAAATGGCTATAAAACGAGGATACTTTGGCACGTTTTGGCCTATATTACGGGATTAACCCGAGACAGAAAATGAGGCAGGGCAAGGAGGGTGCATCACAGGTCATAGGCGGACCTAAAATATCCAGATTATACTAATTTTGCATACATACTATCAATGATAGTATGTATTTGTTACGATCTTCATACGTTAAGATCTTCCAATGTTACTATCTCCCTCTGTATTCTGACAGACACTTAATTGGCTTAGTTTCTCTAAAGGTTTCTCAGCCACATATGATCTCTGAATTATTAGAATAACTGATGCACTGACCGATTACCTTCTTCTTTATTCACAAACTTTACAAATGGTATCATAGTACATAAATTCAAGGAACAGATATCAACTTTTTGATCCTTAAACTCTCAGACGAATAATACTCCAGTCCAAGCTCACAACCATTCTTTCTCAGTCTAATCCATTGCTAAACTGCTCAACTACTTTCAAACTCTCCACAACAAACACTCAGCATACACTAAAACTCAAACCCACGCAGCCTCTTCACTATCTAACTCCGACCCCACGATCTGAGCTTGCATAACCTCACCCTCACAAAATCTTCTCACAATCAAAACCTTTAATACCAAACATTCACGCTCTTAAATCTAATTTACAACAGTATGCAAAATTAAAATGATACCCAAAAACTCAAACAATCCAATAAAAATATACTTTAGTCATTTGAATGCTTTATCATTTTATGATTTATATGTAAGTAGTCTTCATATATGATATAATTTGTAAGTTTAGTACCTGAAGTAAATTTAATAAAATCTTACTAATATAGACCAAGTCCAGTGTTATTTTTTTGTGAGTTGGTTGGCAATGCAATATTAAATATTCTTAATGAAAATTGATTGTATTTGTAAACTATTTGACACAAACTAAAAGTCAATATATGATCCTATTCCTGTATTCCAGCAACTCATTAAATCTTTTGAAGTATGTGATCTACCAGTTCGTGCTGCAAAGTTTGTGGCTAGGAAAAATTGGGTGATTTCAGGATCAGTAAGTTTACTCATTTTATGGTTACTTATTGATGCTTTTGATTTTTAAAATGTCTTTCCTTATCAGAATATGTTTATCTTAAAAGAATTGTACAGTGTTTGCTGTGGAAAAAAATGATAAACTTGATTTCATTTTTTTTCTATGAATATTTATTTCTCGATTCAAAATTATCAATAGGATGACATGAACATTCGGGTCTTTAACTACAATACATTGGAGCGTGTTCACCAATTTGAAGCTCATTCTGACTATCTACGATCTATTGCTGTGCATCCTACTCAGCCCTTCATTCTAACTAGTAGTGGTAAGCTGGTTTTAAATTTACAGAAAAAAGATTTTTTTCAAGGATATTAAACTTAAGAAATATTTTTAAAAAGATTTTTAGCCCACTTTTTTTTTTTGTGTGGCTTTTCCTCTGCTTATATTATTTTTTTATCATTGCAGATGACATGCTCATTAAACTATGGGACTGGGACAAGAAATGGACTTGTACTCAAGTATTTGAGGGACATACTCATTATGTCATGCAAATTGTTATCAACCCAAAAGACAACAATCAATTTGCTAGTGCATCTTTGGATAGAACAATCAAGGTTATTTTTAGAACTATAACTAAGTCAATGAACTTATGGCTGAAGATTCAGTGTACTAAGTATTTTTAAGTCTATTTTTTCAGTCTTTACAAAATACAAAGAAAAAATAGGGGGTGCCAAATTATCAGATGAAAATATCCAAAATTCTGTACAAAAACCATCCAGCTGAGAGCTCTGTGCTTGGAAGTGAGGCATTGAATTTGAGTTTCAGTTGAATAGATTTATTTATCGCGATACCTAACAGATGTGGCTCGTTTGTGATGTAATGGCAGGACCATAAAGAGCCATTAGCTCTGCCCCAAAATAGAAAAAACCTTTGGTATAACCATCTAGATTTACAGCTAACATATGGGTAGCAATTTCCAATATACAAAGGCTGATTAATTGGAAAAAAAATTCAGATGCTGATTAATCTGCTAAATGGTAAATTGAGTAAATCATCTGTGGATTGAAAATGTGTAATTTTTTTAATAACAAAATAGCATTCATAGTCCTTGTGAGGTCTTTCCATTTCTGAGTGCTGCAACCTGTTAAATTATATACAGTCAGTTAAGAGAACTATACCATGAATTATCATGCCCCATTATGCTTTTATTTAAATCACCTTATGAAAGTTTCTCCTATCTCTATAGGTATCCGAAGGCAACAAAATAACTTTGAAAACAATGATATAGTTTGTAATATTTGCTCTGTCGCTTTAAGCATACATCTGTGGGGTTTTTTAATACACATTTTATGTTGGCATTTTATTTATTTTGTAAAATAGAACTGATTATGCAACAAGAAAAAACAATTAAATCTATTCTTATTGAACATTTCAAAGACTGACAAAATATAAGAAGATAAATTTAAAGTATTTCTTCATTCTTTTTTCACTTTTCAGGTGTGGCAGCTAGGTTCTCAAACTCCTAACTTCACTCTTGAGGGTCATGAAAAAGGAGCCAATTGTGTGGATTACTATTCAGGAGGAGATAAACCTTATCTCATTTCTGGTGCTGATGACAGACAGGTTAAAATCTGGGACTACCAGGTACATTATTAATGTTACTTAGGCTAGTGTAGAAGCAGTTAGTTTTAGTCAATTGAACAGTGTCTAAATGTTGAAAATTTTCCACCCGTAGAACAAGACATGTGTACAAACTCTAGAAGGTCATGCCCAGAATGTTGCTGCTGTTGCTTTCCATCCGACACTCCCAATTATTCTGACTGGTTCTGAAGACGGTAAAAGCCTTACATTCCAAATAAATCCAAGTATATTATAAAATGTTTCATAATAAAGTCCTATTCCTGAGTTCGATGTTAACCAAGAATAGTTAAATCAAAAATATTATATATTAAAAGTATTGTCATATATTATGCTATATTATTCATTGTTGTCATTATGACATGATATATTTTAAGGCACTGTGCGTATTTGGCATGCCAACACATACCGCCTCGAGAGTACTCTTAATTATGGACTGGAGAGAGTCTGGACTATTGCATGCCAGAAAGGATCTAACAATGTGGCTCTAGGTTATGATGAAGGCAGTATTATCATCAAGGTGAGGAACACAATATAGAAACTCGTGCCAACTGTTCATAATTTTCAAAAATATTTATATTCCATAGTATTATTGAAAAAGACAACAAATATTGTTCTTATGTCAAATAGCTTGGTAGAGAAGAGCCTGCCATGTCCATGGACTCATCTGGTAAAATCATCTGGGCCAAACATTCAGAGATCCAACAAGCCAACATTAAGGCTATGGCAGACCAGGAGATAAAAGATGGAGAGAGGCTTTCACTTGCAGTAAAAGACATGGGCAGCTGTGAAATTTATCCTCAGACAATTTCTCACAATCCAAATGGAAGGTAAGTCAAATTTATATCTTTCCAAATTTCTTCAACAGTGCCATTTCAACAAATGCAAAATTTTAAGGAGTTAACAAGTTTTTTTATAATTTTATACATAATTATATAACATTGTCTCTGAAATTGTATGCATTTTGGTAAGAATAATATATTTTAAAATTAATTTATTTTATCAGGTCTTTTTTTTGGGGGGGGGGGGGGTGTTGTTTTTATTTATCTCCAAATTTAGTAATGAAATAGAGTGACGTGCACGAGATGTATTCATTAAGTGCAACCAAAATTAGAATTAGTTAAACAGCAAAATCGTGTGTTAACAGAAAAAAGGGGGGGGGGTGTTGATTTTAATTAGCACCAAAATTTGTTAAGGAAAGAATCTCCACCTTCAATTTCACTGAAATGCAATTTAATGAGATTTTATTAGTTACATTGTTAAAATATAAAGAACTAAGAATGGAATAAAGCGCTACAGATAATGAGTCTGTTAAAATGCTAGACAGTGGATGCAATTAGACGTTTGGGAACATAAATGAAAGGCATAGGGAAAATAAAACGGAAACATTGTTAAGATCTCAACTCATGATATGTATTCAGTTTTGATGTATCCATGACTTAGATATGGAATTGATTTGTTTCAGGTTTGTTGTTGTCTGTGGGGATGGAGAGTACATCATATACACTGCCATGGCTTTGAGAAACAAATCCTTCGGATCGGCCCAAGAATTTGTGTGGAGCAGTGACTCGTCTGTGTATGCTGTAAGGGAAGGGAGTACATCTGTGAAAATATTCAAGAATTTCAAGGAGCAAAAATCTTTTAAGCCCGACTTTGGGGCAGAAGGTAGACAGAAGCAACTGTTTCCAAATAAAATGTATAAGGTCATTGCAATGAAGAACAATATTTTAATTAAAGGAAGAAAGAAATTGCAAGAATTGCTATTGGTTTATTCAAAATACTGAAAGTTTGTTCGTTACAAGTTGTTTCCAGGAGTGAATGTCAACAATTTTATGAAAACAGCAGTGCTGTTGCCTCAGTGATAACAAATGTACATGAGCAAACCTGCTGATACTTCATAATGCAAACTGAAAGATAAGAATATTAACATATTTGTCTACATCTGATGTAATTTGAGACACATCTGAGTTCTCTCCCTATAACAAGAAAATTTATATTTTATTATGTGTGCCAGCCATATTGGTGGGTTGTACAGATTTAAATTTTGACATAAATAATGGATATTTTTAGATTTGATAATAAATTACTAAAATAATCTGAATCTGCGTGAAAATTATTCATTTCTGTTTTCTTTTTTAGTTTAATCACATATTATAAAATCTGCTATTGTGCCAAGACTATTTGGAGTATTAGACTCTTCGCGTTAGCCAGATTCATGCTGCTAAATATAGATAATATAACAGTTTGCAATGATCATCATGACAGTTCAATCGCACCCTAAAAAAAATATTATAACATTTTGAATATGGAATTCTGTATCTGATTTGTATTTAGAAGATTGGGATTGTTCAGGTTACTGCAATAGATGTAAATTCTTTTACCATGTTAATTAAATACGCACTGCATTTTAATTATATTTTGAAGTCAATGTTTGTTTCTGTTCCTTCAGGTATTCATGGAGGTCACATGCTTGGTGTAAGGTCAGTGAGTGGCCTTGCATTCTATGACTGGGAAACCACAGAGCTTGTTAGACGCATTGAGATTACACCAAAGCATGTAGGTGAACTGCTTCCTATTTCATTTCACAGGTTTCTCAATCAAAGAAATTTTAACAAGTGCTGTCCCTTTAAATATTTCTTTTGTATGGTACTTTATGTCATTGTTTCAGATTTTCTGGACAGAGAATGGACAACTTGTTTGCATTGCCACAGAGGATTCTTTCTTCATTCTCAAATTCAGTGCTGAAGCTGTGGAAGCTGCCAAGGAGGCTAAGGACAAGATCACAGAGGATGGCATTGAAGATGCTTTTGAGGTAACCACGTCCCTGATAACTGTCTCTAGATGTTTTTGAGATAATGTCGGTGATAACTGTATCTAGATGATTTTGAGGTAATGACATCACTGATAACTGTATCTAGAAGCTTTTGAGGTAGCGACGTTACTGATAACTATATCTAGATGCTTTTGAGGTAACAACGTCACTGATAACTGTGATAACTTAATCTAGATAGATGCTTTTGAGGTAACATCATCACTGTAACTGTTATCTGATAAAAAATAATAATAAAAACTCCCACCATGTAAATAGTTTATGATTGTAGCGATAGAACTGTATAATTTAAACATTATAACCTTACATTAATTTAAATTGTGCATTGAACTCCCTTATACTTTTCTTATATTTGAGTTGCAATTTTCAAATATAAAAGACAAAACTTAAGCTTTATCAATTTATATTACAACATAGGTCCTAACAGAAATAGAGGAGACTGTCAGGACAGGTCTGTGGGTTGGTGACTGCTTTATTTATACCAACAGTGTCAACAGGCTAAACTACTATGTTGGAGGAGAAATTGTTACTATTGCGCATTTAGATAGGTAAGCTATTTCAACCTGTCTAAAGTATTTTTTTAAATATTTTTTTTTGTTAAAAGTTATAGGGCATGAGTGATTTATTTTTAGTATTATTTTAGAATTTTGCAATCTGTATGTTTTCAGCTTTTGTGTTTTTATTAAAAATGCTGAAAATGAACCAGTACAACAATGTTACAACAAATTGCTATTTGTTTGGATAAAATAATAATCTTATCTTGTGATTATTCTATTTACACAGAATAATGTACCTTCTGGGCTACATCCCAAAAGAAAACCGTCTGTACTTGGGTGACAAGGAACTCAGTATTGTGAGTTACTCCCTGCTTGTGTCTGTACTGGAGTATCAAACCGCTGTCATGAGGAGAGACTTTGACACCGCTGACAAAGTTTTGCCAACTGTACCACGTGAGCAAAGAACACGCGTTGCTCATTTTTTGGAGAAACAGGTTAGAACCCGGACTGTGCAAAAAAAATATACCTTGGCACTTACTTCCTTAATAATATTAACTTTCGATGAGAAATAATTTTTTAAAATTATTATAGAAAATAAAATATATATTATTAAAGCCATACTTAATAATTTTGTATCCTTTTTTTTACCTTTGTTATATAAATTTAGTTTTAAGAAAAACATCTTTTTTTACTCATAGGGTTTCAAATCTCAAGCCTTGGCTGTGACATGTGACCCAGAGCATAAGTTTGAGTTAGCCATTCAGCTTGGAGACCTTCGCACTGCCTACGAACTTGCTAAAGAAACTCAGTCAGAGCAGAAGTGGAAACAACTGGCAGAGCTGGCTATCCGAAGATGTGAATTTGGCCTTGCTCAGGAATGTTTACATCAGGTGGGTGCCATTACGTCAATGATATCAAGTCATTTACTAGTAATTTGGTGAAATAATATCATTACAAAAAATGTACAATACCCAGAAATAAACTAGGGACCTAAAAATTACTGAGAAGATTCAAACTCACCTAGAATTATTCAAAAGGTGAAACAGCCAACACCATCAATGTATATGAGCAATGGGAAAAAATAAATCAAGTGTAACAGAGGAAACAATAGGATTTTAAAAATTTAAATGATGTCAAATAGCAGCAAAGCTTTTATGTGATTGGTCTATTCTTAAAGTTAAAAGCTTACTTCCATTTTTTTGTATTGCACTTGTCTAACTTTAGTTGTTTCCTATGAAAGGCACATGACTATGGAGGTTTACTCTTGTTGGCCAGTTCTGCTGGTAACAGAGAGATGGTTGCCAAGGTAGGAGAGTCAGCTGAAAAATCTGGACAAAACAATGTAGCATTCTTGTCCAACTTTGTTCTTGGGAAGTAAGTAAAATTATATTTAGCCTATAACTTATAGCAATGTCATTGAGGATTACAATATTTGTTTAGTTATAATTAACTCTCAACTAGTTCAGATATAAGTAACATTTTAAAGATTTCTGCCTCCACATTATGTATCAGATTGAATGGAAATATTACATTTTAAGATTTTCAATAACAAAATTTGTTGAAATTGAGTGAAATAATTTGCAATCAGTCATTATGACTTGGCATATGATTTAGAAGTAAATTCTTCACAAGACTTCTCACCAGAGTTTAATAGATTGTCTTCAGGTATTTGGTTGTGTTTGCACATTAGCCTTGGCTTGCCGTTAACCTGCTGACTCCTTTAATATTCAAATCTCTTTTAATAAATTTATAAATTTTTTATTTTTTTTAATCCTTAGGTGTGAAGAATGCCTTGAAATACTAATCAACACCGGCCGGCTACCTGAAGCAGCTTTCTTTGCAAGAACTTATCTGCCTACTCAGATTTCAAGGTATTTAGTTCATGGTCAACCATAGCTTTGTTGAATATTTTGTTTGGATACTGCTTTTTAAAAATTGTAAGTAAAATTTGGATAAAAATGTTGAATGAATTGTAATCATTTCTTAGAGTGGTTGCACTTTGGAAAAAATATGTGGCAAACATCAACAAAAAGTCTGCAGATCTTCTTGCTGATCCAACTGAGTATGAGAATCTATTCCCTGGTCTGAGAGATGCATTCAAGGCAGATCAATACCTCAAGCCCCAGAGAGAGAAAGTGTTACCTGCAGCTGCATATACAAAAATTCCAGTATGTTTTCATTGCTCTGTTTTTTTTTGTTTTTTTTTTTTATATTTTTTTTGAATTACAAATGTATGTTGTTGTTTTTTAAAATCATTATTGACAAGTATATTGCTAAAAGTTATTTCAAAGGATGTAAAAGTCTTTTAAAACTGCTAAATGGGGTTTGTTTATTTTTAAATACAAGTTAGTAGCTATTTTATTCACAAATTTTGGATAGTGTAAACTGGACTTCCTATAAATTGTATTGAATTCTCTGACAGAGCAATACAGAACGTAACCCTGTTGAGGAGATGAAGCAAGCTGAAGAGGCTGGCCGTTTTGTCTATGCGGCACCCTCTACAGGAGATGAGGATGATGCTGAGAACTTTGAAGAAGCCCTTGAAGTTGCATCACAGGTACAAACTGTACTCTTCATTGATGAACTGTTTGCTTCAATGATAATCCTCTTAGAATTTTTTAAAAGTGAATTACTACCTTGTGTCTTACATTAATAGGCCTTCTCATACCTGGCACTCTTAAGTATCAGTTTGCAGAGAAATTTACATTTTTGGCAAGATTAACAAATATTTTGCCAATTTTGCTCTATTCAGGTCTCGGAAATAACTTTGAAAAATGGCTTTAAACACAAAATTTGGCTGTGACTATATTTTTTAAAGAAGTTCACATGTTATCTGAATCCTCAGCTTTATTTAAATATATTTATTAGAAACATTTAATTCGAATTAAACTCTAAATTCAATTTATTATTTTACACAAGCTGCATACTTATCATCTTACTTTTAGCGACAACATTCTATAATGTTAAGTTATCCTGCCAGTAATTAATACTTATGCAGTCTTTAACCCTTTGATTCCTTGGCATCTAGCCCTAAAATATCGTCACCCCTGGGCTACCTGGGAAAAATTTACAAAAACTATATACATTAAAAAAACATGACAAAAAAACACAACAAAAGTAACATGTCTGCTGGTGTGGCAATGACAGTAATCTTTTGCAGGTTACAGGGTAAACCCCGAACTCATTATTTTAATATAGTGACTTTCAATTTAGGTTAAAGAATGTGAATTTAGGTTAAGGTATGTGAGACTGAAATATCGCTCTTTCACTCTAATGCTCACAAATTTTTCTTTGATTTTTACCCCTTTCTATATTTTAGTCACCTGGTAAAAAAGATGAACCCAGATTGCCTCCACCCATAACCCCTGCTTCACCACTTGCTGCTCCAGTTACCCCACTTGCTGCTCCTGCTACACCAATATCAGCTCCAGATCCAACACCTATTACCGCCCCCGCACCTTCGGCCACCAAACCTGCTTCTGTGGCAGAGGAAGTTAAACAAAAATCAGTTGAAGATATTGAAAAAGAGTTGGATTTGGAATTGGATTTAGAAAATGTTAATATTGAGGATCTTGAGGGAGTAAGTCAGTTTGGGGGGGGGGGGAGGCTTTCTTAAATCCTAATGGAAGACCCTAGTGCTAAAATTACTTAAGTCACATTACTGTCACAATCAATCTACTGTATTTTCGTGCATATAAGACGCAATTGATGATAATATGCAGGTTTTGGCAATTTTAAAAAAAAAATATTTTACATAAGACACACCTAATTATAAGATGCACACATATATGACCCTGGTTTTGATGATTTGTGTAAACAAAAATTACATAAGACGCACGCGGTTTAGCCATCTGCCGCACTGAGCAATTTATATCCTGTGGTTTCCTTTATCATAAATGAAAATTCGTCCAATGTGTCATCACTCGTCGGATGCAAACAAGGCTTTAAATAATGCACCCACCAAAGATACTAAAAACCGGATGTATAGGTAATATAGCCGCCATAGTTTTTGCTGTGATAATTAATAACATTTTAAAAAAACTATTTAAACATGTTGTAATATATAAATTTAAAACATTCACTCTGACTAAACTTAGATCTGCAATAATTGCGGTATACAAAACATTGAAACCGAAAGCATTTAAAATTTGAAGTTGCCTGCACTGGATGGTACACATTGTAATTACTGAACACTTACCAAAAATACTTTCCATATTTGTTTGCGCATATAAGACAAACCTAATTATAAGATGCAGCTTTTGATCATTTGTGCAAAATAATTTACATAAGATGCACCCATATATAAGACGCAGCCTGGGTGCAGGGTATGTAAAACTTTGTATAAGATGCGTCTTAAATAAGCGAAAATACGGTAAACTATGACCTTTTCTTAACCGGTTTAGCCAAGTGTACTGCAGAAATTTGAACATATTAAAATGTGCCTAAGTTCTTTATTTAGCCAAGACAAAATATGTAAATGATCACATTTTATAGATGAAAACAATATTTGAACTCGATTATTTCAAAATGTGTATTTTGTGACATAAATTTTAGCACTAAGGTCTTCAATTGTACTATTAAAGAAGATTAATATGCTTAACATTTTTCGCATTTGATTTTTTTTTTTAAGTTAAGACTCACTAGAGCCATAATTAAATTTTTAAAAAATAAAATGCATTTTTAAATAACTTTTGTAATTATATATGTGATAAATCAATTTTATTCTTCACTTTGTGCTTCTCTGACCCAATGGCTTTATGTTTTCAGGATATGAATCTGGATGAAGATGATTTATTACAAGACTAAAGAGAACAGGATCAACTTAGAATTTTTCATTGTATTCATTTACTATGTTTATTTTCTGACTGTATGCTAGGAAGATTTATGTGATTTCCAAATTAATCTTCTATCTCAATGTGTATTCCTACTACTAAGTCTAAACTCAGTTCATGCTTGTTGCAATTAACTGCATCATATGGGGATCCCTTCAGGATGACCAAACGTATTTTACACACACACCCAGCTCACTTTTAATACACCAGAGCCACAAAATCTTGCATCCAGATAGTGGTGCTATCCTATTGAAACATTTTAATAAACGAAATCGTGTATCTTTTTCATTTTTAACCTGTAAGCTAGTTAGTATTGTTCTGTGGCTCTTAATTTAATTATTATTGTCATTTCTGGTTATCTTGGCCAATATTTTAATTTTCTTAAACCTAATCCATTTCTGGATTCATCTGTCTTCGGTTTGAGAAAGTTATTAATAGTTTGGAAATTTTAAAAAAAATGTAATTTATATTTTTACTTCGCTTTGTTTTTGGTACTAGGGGATCACATCAAGAAGTGGACAGGAAGGAGTTAAATTTTGTCTGAAATTGTTGCCTAGCATCAGTTTAAAAACAAAAATTGTACAGTATGTCTGCTTATTACATTTAATACATGGTTGGATTATTGGTTATTATATAAATATTTCTGTGGGTGATTTGTGTCTGAAAGTTTCATCATTTACTTATTTGCAGAAAAGAATGTTAAACTGCTGCGGAATGGGCCCAACACATAATTTGTATTTTCATTTTGTAGGAGACTTCCCAGAATAAGGTTCTAAGTTTTATGAATATTTCACTTTTTTTTTGGCCTTATCATATTTGGCTTTATAAAGCTACCATTGAAAATGTAAAAACATTTTTTTAAACACAAATTTCTGTGATTTAAATTTGACATTATCATTATGTATGAATCATGAAGTTACTTATTAAACTAAACTTGCGTTTAAATACTTCACAACAAGTTGAACAAGGGCATAAGAATGTTGCTCCTCTGGTATATGTTGAACTTGTGTCTGAATAAAATTTAAAAAAAATTATTCCACTTATGTTGAAATTATTCATAATTTATTAAATAGACAAAAATTTATAACATGAAATGTTTTGAATGTGCCAATAATTTTTTATTGATTGACAAAATAATACATGACTAGATTTTACTCACATGATTGCTTTAAAAAAAATTACATCTTGGGACATACATAATTAAAACTTTTATTGTTTAAAATATTTTCATAAAAACTCGTTTCATTTACTTGACATGAAATAATATTGGGATGTATAATAAATACTGGTATCTCTTTCCACTTCCTTTTTAATGTCTCTGCATGACCAAATCAATGGCATAGTTTTGAAGCTAACTGTCCTTTCTTGTGAGATGCGTTTACGATGGTCAATAAGGAAAAAGTTGCCTCACTGAATCACAAAATAATAAATTTAATACATAATATAGAGTTTTAAAATTTAACATTGTACAGCTATTTGCAATCAATCCATTAACCCTTTATAAGAAGTAATACTGTCTGAAACCTAACAACAGCAGAGTCAGCCTCTATTAGTATTTAACAATCTTAGGTCACAATAAAGATGTGATCTGTAATGTAACGAGAAACAGATGGGCATATGAATAGCAGTGATCTCAGTGTATTGAAAAGCCCTAAACACAAAAATCATATCCTATATTCATCAGTCAAGTGTAAATATTAGAATGTGTTTAAGGAATGTTCAGATTGTAACAATTACAACAAATTTCTCAATTATTGTAAAAGTTTAGAGCACTGGCAAATACTTGATGGCAGAATTTAATTAGTACCGGGTTACACAGGTGCCATAATTGTTTTTTTTAGAAATTATTATAAAAAAATATATTTTATGACAAGTATTGCCAGCTTTTAAAATGTAATGATATCCTTTACAGTTGACAAAACCACTATGCCATTTGTTTTCAGCTGCCCCCCAGGAAAAAAAAAAATCCATTAAAATTTAAAAAGAGTTCCTTAGTGGGACAAGATGCTAAGAGAATCTAATGTGTAACTGAGCAATTATATGAACAAGTTAAGAAGGGGAAATTTTTATAGCAAGAAAAATGAGGATGGCCAAATTTGATTGACACATACTTTGTGTAGAAATATACAAACATGGAGTCCTTTTATTCTTATTATATGACCAGATTACTGAATGATTAGACACTGGGTATCATCTTTATTAACAATAAAATTGGCAAGATAAATCAGACCATCTTTGAGACATGCACTCATTAAAAAAAGTTAATACTTTTACATTTATAAATCTTCAACAAACCCATGTATATTATGGAACATACAAAATTACAGTTTCTAATAAGTTAATGAGGAATTCCTCATAATACAATACACATTTAAACTGGCTAATTATAAGAATTTAAGTCCCCATATCACACCTGGTAAACAATGTACAGCCCAGGTAGATAATATTGTGGAAGACGTTGTTTATGAATTTAACACAACAGAAGCGAAGCTGAAAAAACAGCTCACAAGAATAAAATTTCTTATACAGTTTTATTAGCTTATAAATAATATTTTACTTCTCTGGGTATGCAGGCTACCTGTGATTATGAGCAAACAACATTTCAAATTTGCTCTTTCATCTGTAATGACTTTGCTCTCAGAGTATTTGGACAGGGCAAAAATAATACCTAAGAAAGTGAATTATATTTACAATAGCTAAAAAAAAAGTTTACTACCTCAACAAATTATTTGAGACCAAAGATGTCCAAATGACCTTATATTTAAAGAACTAAAAAACATTTTTAAAAAGCCATAACTTCAACAATAATATATAACTATTTCAGGATTAAAAATCTTATTTTTACTAAACTGACTAGCAAAAAAAAAGTGTGAGCAAGATAAGTGAGACAAGTTAAATAAAATCTCACACTTCTACATAAATAACATTTTATAAAAATAAAATATGACATATAAATAATAAATGTATTTCATTACATGTAAATGTAAGGCAATAGTAAAGGGCATATAACAATTTAATATGACTTTAGCTGTAGCAAAAAAAAAAAAAAAATTGGGGAAAGCCATGTACTTATTTGTAGTAGGCCTTTAATAATTTGACAAAGTGGTAACAAATTGTATTTTTGGATTAAAATAATTAATTCAACTCACACATCTGATAGATGCAATCCTAGAGACATGAAATGTTGAAAGATTTCATTTCACGATGCAATAGGAGTGGCATGAAATTAAAACAAGTTAAGCTTTTACAAATAAATGCATTTTATTTCTAGCATTATTGGTAGCTTCCAAAAAAAGAAATGAACCAGGCAACATAGCACAATATATACACTGTTTGATACATTACTGCTAGCTTACATAGCAATGTATATTAGGATACAGTACCATATCATCTAAACAGTAGGTGTAATTTGTTATTACTAGATTACGAAGCATAGAGCCATTATCTACAGCACATATATCATAAATATCAGACTTCTGTATTTCCTTAACAGACAATCTTGCAAGAGATAAAAATGGATAGATGTTATATCCATGGAAAGATATGTGATCAAAGAAAGCCTTTCCAAGATAACTGAAATTCAACTTTTGCAAACAAAATTAATACACAAAAAAAGCATTTTAAAGAGCATTATGTAGTAAGAATAAAAGAAAATTTGAAGCTATACATAAAATTGACATTTATCTAAAAAGAAAAACAATAATACCTTGACAAAAAATACATTGCCTTCACATACTGAATATTTCTAAAGAAAAATAGACTGAAAATACTGACATTTTTATGCTTGGAGCATTTAACAGAAGCAAAAAACTCAGCCAGCTTTTTTTTTTCTAGCCAAATTTATAACACAAATCTTTCAAACATCTTTTGGTGAAATCTTAATTATGTTTATGTCAAGACTCTGTCAAGATTACTAGTATTAGTAATATGGGCATTTTTCCCCAAAATTGTCCATATTCAATTACTAAACTTTTTTTATGTGTATTTAAATTACTTTTACTTAAATATCAATATTCTGCATATTCAACAAAGGCAACTTAAAATGATCAATTGTTTTCATTGATTCAGCAGCCCTTAAACATTCTTACATTTAGCTATTCTAAGCCATTGCTAATCTCTTATGTAATGTTGACACTGCAGACTGCAATGTAGTGGTGTTTTTTTTTTTTTAAACATTTACTTTTATAAAATTGTCTGATCATAGTAAAAGGGATACTTTATTGTGAATTTTGATAATTATTTATCCCGATGGAAATTTATTTATTTTAGCCCCTTTGCATGACTGGGAGTCAGCTGATAGTACAAACACAATTTATAACAAAGAATTGAATGCAGTGATATCAAGTACATCCTATATATTTAACACATTTAAGTTAAGAAATCAGGCAAATTAAAAAGAGATAAAATTATGGGAAAATCAAAAGGTGGTGGAATGAGCGGAAGTATCTTTCTATAAACATCAAGGAGGAATGACTTGTTCACCAGTACAAACAACAGGGGTGAAATCAATGTGCACATTCTCAAGCATCAAGCAATGAACTATACATGGCCAGTAGCTGATCCAGAAGGAGGAGAGGTCCTGGCCCCTGGGATATTTTAAGTTTGAAAGACAGGAATATAAGAATGTAAGAGATTAGCCACCATACTACAACTCTATTTATGACTTCCAGCCCCTCCAGCCTTACGGGTTTTTTAAACTGAATCTGCTACTGTACAAAGGCAATAGATAGTCATTTCTGTACAAGGACAGGCCATATTTTAGATTAAAAGCCCTGAGACCATTAAAAAAAAAATCAAAAGTTAGGACACTTCGACACCAAAAAATCATCCGTTCCCAAAGAATCAATTTAATTTACACAAATATCTTGCCCAAAAATCCACTCACAAAATTCCAATACTTTTAGCACATGAGGTTTAAGGAAACAAAAAACTGGTAAGCTCTGAATAAATTTTTTTTTCTTAACAACCTTTACAGTGTACAGCAACACATTGTGTTGATAGTAAGGTTCAATGAAATACTGTAATATAAGAATATCATCTCCTTTCCCTTAAAATATTAACTGAGCTGACCATCTTGAACATTTCATGTAAATATACTGTAGAGATTCAAAGGTAAATATTCAACAATGCTGGTAACAGATCCTAGATTTATCTTGAAGCAATATTATGTCATCAATACCCCATCAAGTCATATTTAACAGGTCAACTGTTTTTTGAACTGTTAGTACATAGTCATGACTAGGTGGTAAGAATATCTTGCTGTAGCAAAGTTTCTGCTCATTCTATCAAGATGCTTCTTTAGTATCCTCTTGATTTGATGCCTTTTCATTCAGCTTACGCCTTTTAGCATAATACTCAACTCGCTCTTCTAGACTTTCTGCAACAATAAATTAAACAAATTTCTAATTTAAAAATACGCCAGTATTTAGGAGAGAGCATTTATGGTGATAAATAGATAATTTCTACAATAAAGATTTCTAACAATGATATAAAAAAACATACAAGACTTGTAAATAAGGAAAGCATGCATGGATTACACCTTAAGCACATTAAAATAACTAAACATCTCAATTTAGCAAGTCTGGTGAGACAGCGACACTCACCACAGGTAGGTCTCTTTAAAATTGGCTTGTACACTCGTGGCTTGTTGCCTGGTATCATCCATTCAGATTGTTGTAATAGAGGCGCACTAAGCTCATTCCAAGGAGCAATATCAGATTCTGTGATGTGAAAATAAAGTGATGAAAAACAAAACAAAAAACAGTTGTAATTAAATTTTTTTTAAATTTTTAAACAATGTAATCAAGTGCATTTGTTTTATAAAATTGATAACCATTTCACATATTTTGTTCTAACATCACTTTTTGTTCCCCCCTTACCTGTTTCAACTTTAGCTACATCTAGTTCTTCAAGCATTCTTTTGATCATGGTAGCTCTGTAAAAAAAAAATGAAGATGTTATAAAATTGTAATTCTTATCACATATCTCCCATAAATGATTTTGGTATAAATCAAATTGGTGTAAATAAAAGTGCAATCCACTTACTTGACAGTATGTTGAGCCCACATCATTTGCAAGTGGCGAATATTATCTTCATGCCAGTCTGAAGAAAATAATATTTTTATAAATTTCAGAACATATATGTAACCAAAATAGAAGTAAAATACTGTCAAGGACAAATCATATAGTTAAGTAACTTATCTTTTTTATATAAATTTTGAGAAAAGATTAATAACAGAATAATGATTTAATTTTACCAGCTTCATAGATCCACTCCAGGTCATCTCCAAAGTCACAATCAAATAATACCAAAGGCAATTCTAAAACAGAAAGGGTTTTATTTCATTTTACTAATACTAAAAGATATAATTAAAGCAAGCTGATAACAATATATTTACTTCAGTTAAGGAACTTATCCAGAAACTGCCAACAAGCTACGTAAAGTAATAAAAGTTACCAACAAAATTTCACATTATCTGATCCTATTTTTAACCACTAATATCCACGACTTTTAAAATAATTTAAAAATAAATCATCAGTGAATGTTAAATGTAAATGTCAATATTTATCAAACTGTATTTAACAATACATTTTTACTGATTGTGTTTGTGCTATCAGAGGATTAAAAGAACATGAATTTAAAATAGCAGAATGTTTTGAATAGAAAAACTGCTACTTTCTTTTTTTTAAAGATCCTGTTATATCATGCCAAACAATTCAAATATTATTTACGTATCAAAATGTCCCTAACAGCAGAAAATAGTTAATTCGTTTAACTTAACATTAAATACAATTAAAATTTATACTTGGTTTGTCATTACACCGCCTAATAAATTAGTAAACCAGCATTTTTTCAAATACATGGTTTTTCTCTATTCTGTAATTGAGTTTATAAAATTAATATTTTAAACTTATCTGTATTTTCTACACACAAGATACAAAAAAATATAATCAGATAAGCAATAACAAAAAAAACAAAAATTACCAGATGCCATTGTGTACTGGGGCTTCCTTGGATTCTTTTCAACATTCAGAAGCTCTTCTAATATCTGTTTGAAATAGAGAATTGAATGAATTTAGGTTGAATTACCAGCATATGTTTTGGTTGGTTCTATCAATTTTATTGCATTCAGTTAAGCTAGTCAAAAGCAGATTATAAATCTTTATTGAACATTTTATCATTTTCACAATGGACACAAAATGGGGGCAGGGATGATAGCTCTCACTTAAGAAAACCTGAGGAATACTGGCCACATATTTCTGGCTTTCTTTTAGCGATGTTAAGTTGTGAGACACATACTTTTTTTTTGTTCTATAATTAAAATATACATTTGGTCATTAAGTTATTTTAACAGCTGACTTGACTGTAACAATGTTTTATCATTCCTAAATGTCCCAACAATAATGAAAGTAGGCTTTCATTAAATAATAATACATTAAATAAACCAGGATATAAACCATTTTTTAAATTTTAAAACTTAAATGTTACTGTATAGGTTTTTAAAAATTTTAACACAAAAACATTTTTTAAAAAAAAACCATTCTAAATTATTTTTTTTTAAAAATGACAATTACTTACAGAGATATCCTCTTTCCCTTGACCTATTAGGAAAAGAATGGACACTATGCATCTGATCTGGTGCCATAGAAAAGCTTGGCCAACTACAGTCAGTTCACACATAGAATATCCATGATCTCTGCAGAGACAAAAAGTTTCAATAATTCCTGTAGTTCATAGTAAGTCAATCAGAGTTAGAAATCAACTAAAATAAGTGATAGATCCTTTCAAAAATAATAAATAAACTCTTATAAATCTCAGTGCTAATAAATATATTGATGTGGTCATGTACAGTTTTTAAATAACTTTTTATTTAAAATTTCTTAGGACTTACAACTCTTTTAATATTGTGACGTCAGCTCTGATGATTTTCCTGACAAAATTTACCACACCATTACCAACATCCATTTTACACAAATTACGGAAGTCATGTTCTCCTAGTAGCTTTGTGGCAGCTTCATTCATGCGCTGAAATTATAAATATGAAGACTGACACAAAACCACAGTACAGAAATAGCAAGACTGACAAAAAACTTTGAACATTAATGGGCTGTCTGACACAAAAACACTGTACAGAAATAGGCAGACTGATCCAAAAACACTCTACAGCAGTGGTTCTCAACCTTTCTAATGCCGCGACCCTTTTGTACATTTCCTCATGTTGTGGCGACCCCCAATCACAAAATTATTTTCGATAATACTTTATAACTGTGGAGTGTATGTGTCTTCAGATGGTCTCACGCAACCCCTGTGAAAGGGTGGGGCGACCCACAAGGGGGTCGTGCGACCCACAAGGGGGTCGCGACCCACAGGTTGAGAACCGCTGCTCTACAGAAATAGGCAGTCTGACACAAATAGGAAGACTGACACAGTTGAATATGGAGCATTATCTTTTTGCTTATAAATACAGATCAAAAGTAAACAGCAAGTCTAATGATAACCAATTGTTTACCCAGTATCTTAGGTGAGATTAAAGAGAATCTGTTATAATATAACTATATTTTATAAAGCATTATATAAGTAAAAATTCCCCTACTTTTCAGTAAGAAAATGCACTAATCATACGAACCAGTATGTCAAGGTTTCCTTTTGGGAAATAGTATTTATAAGTACGTTTCTTGCAGCTGAACCTAAAATGTGATTGAATAAGCAATTGCCATCAAAAGATAATTAGACACTAAGATGAGCAAAGATGTCATAGAATGTTTGAACTATTAACAAAAATACTTTCTGGCCGGCAACATTCTCAAGATTACATTATATACATGTATAAAATTGTTGAAAGAAAAAAAAAAAAGTTAAGCACAAGCTACAAAGTGTCTAGATTTATACAGGACACAGTGGCCAGTCCACATGCTTCACTGCACAAAGCAAAGTCATTTCTCGTCCTCTGATTTGTGTTCAGATTCTTAACACCAATTTTAAATCAGGTCACATATTACTGGAGTAGGTTATGCTTCATTTTTAAAAAAACTGTAAGTAAATGAGATGTTATTTTCCTTTGGATAGAATCTTTGATCTTTGGTTGTCAAGAAAATATCAAACAATAAAAAGGCTAACCTGGCACTGAACTCTGGATCCACTGGGGCCCATGCCAACACTCGGATTTCTGGAGGAAGTACTTTATTAAGTATGTGTGCGTAACGTATTTCTGTAGTGGTATCTCCTGAAAGGTCGTATTAAATTCTTTAAATTATTTTTCTAAATCAGAAAGAATTACGTGTCTGTGTATCAAGGACTGACTGATAAAGTAATATACATTTCATGAACAAAAATGTTTGAATGTATGCAAATATTTTCAACTGCTCTCATGAGAAAATAGTGAGTTTGATAGCTTAAAATGTATGCCACAGCATAATGCATAATGACCGTGCCTAGTTATCAGGGTCACACAAAGTACATCTAGTTTTAAAAATCAAAGATTCTATGGGGATAGATGTTAACATTACTAGAGGAAGTATTGTTAGATCACTGGACGCAGGACTTTGGTTTTTCCATTTAATAATAACCCTTAAAATAGTTTTGCTAATAACAATGATATGATCACCAGTCAGTTCCTGATTACAAGCATGGATAATGAAAATTCAAAATGCTATTATTTTCCAAACTAGGATAAATCTGATTTGATTATTGGCAAGAGTATTTTGTCGAATTACAGATATTTCTGAAAATATGATCCTAAAAAAGAAAAATTTCCTTTCAACTTTGCAAAAGGTCATGGTTCACTGGGTTAAAAAGTTGCAGTGACCACTTTTTTATGGGGACAAAAAAGTAAAACAAAACTTTCAAGAATAAGATTTATCAAAAGCGGCAAGTCATTTGTTTACCAGAAATATTTAAATAAACAAAAGTATTTTCAACATTTTACAAGATGAAAGGTCAAAAACATTTAAGACATTGACTTTGAAACAGCATCAGAATATATGTGATGGCTTTTTTAATGTTATTTACAAAATATATGATTTATGACTTCAATAATATTTTATCATGACAAACCTCCTCGAGCATGCGCAGTTCCACCCTCTCTAACTTTGACTCCAACACCAGTTAGGAGATTGGACCTCAAATCAAGCGATATAACCTATAAAATAAATTTAAAAATGAAAACCAAGTTAAAAAAAAAAATAACACAAAGTTATAACACAATTTAAAAATGAAACACTTTCTTGACTATTAATTTGAGGATGAATTTAAATCAAAGTTTGCTTCATTAAAACCAAACACTCAAAATCTAACATATGAGCTTAACTAAGACTAATATGAATGAAAATGTAAGGTTCTTGAATTTGAAGGAGCCATTAAACCCATTGATTATACCTGGCCTAAAGCACTAACACCTTTATCTGTACGACCACACCGATGATAACTGGATGTTTCTCTGTAAACAAAATAAACTGTTATTGTAATTTAGAAGTACTTTATATCTCTAAACATCGAAGCAAAACAGCTATGTGCATTTTTTTTTATGCTTCTTATTTCAATAAAAAAAAGTAAAGTCTTTGTCCCTTCCTTGTTTTAATCTGTAGGAATTAAGTTGTTTTATAACCTTTTGTTAAAAATTGTCTTTAACTTAAAATTTTGTTGAAAAAGATGCTCTGAGCATATCATTAATTATAATACCTTGATTCAATCATTCGAGTTTTAAGTAAAGCTTCAAAAATCGCAGATTCTATTGTTTTGTCTGTGTCTTCTTGAACAACAAATCCACCATAGTCCCAGCCAAGATATGCTATCTTAAGGGCAACGTGTCGGGTGTTGTATCTGAGGGTTGTAAATAAAAACCTGTCAGTTCATAATTTCTTATATGTTACAGACAAAGCTTAAAAGCCTGCATTGCACGAATATAAAAAATAATAATGAATAAGCTGTGCCATGTGGAATGCTGAGTTCCTTTATTCTGTGTAACTGACAAACAAAAAACAAAAGGCTTTGGATATATAGTACAACGATGGAGTTGTCGATGGAGTGGTCGTGCCAGGGTGCACAGGTATTTTGTTATGTCAGATATTTTTAACTGGGTATCATTTAACAGTAGATCATTAAGTGTCTCACTGCAAAAAAAAAAAAAAAAAAAAAAAAAAAAAAAAAAAAAAAAAAAAAAAAAAAAAAAAAAAAAAAAAAAAAAAAAAAAAAAAAAAAAAAAAAAAAAAAAAAAAAAAAAAGCTACTGTAAGCTTAGATTACTTTGTTGCATAGCAACAGAAGAATTTAATAATAATTGCAAATGGAGACACATAAGACAAATGATAATAAACATCCAATTAACAATTTTGGGAAGCTAAGCTTTCTACTACTAAAATATTGTATCACAAGCATACCTTTTGCAAGTGGTTTTCGTACTTTTTCATTTATTAAGAATTAACTATTAAGCAAAAGATATGTCAAATCTTGAACTGAGGCCTGACAAAAAACACTGAGTGCATCTGCTGTTAACAAGTCTTTGCTAACAAATAGGGGGAACAATTATTTTGGAACGACAAAACTCTGGCTTAGAAGATATAAGCGGTAAATTTGTGTATAAGACATCTGAAATAAAATATTGTACTGAGGAATAACATTTACTTTCAAGTGTCATTGAACAAAAATTATATATAAAAATATAATATACACCTTTGAAGAAAACATATTACAAATATTTCACGTAAAAGGAAAAGTAGACAAAAGTTCACTTAGTGTGCTTTAAAATTGATATTTTTTTGTGTTTTCTATTTCATGACATTTTTATTATGATATACATTTAATTTTGTTGAGCCTTTTTGTAAGGTCCTCCTTTTTTTTTTTTTTTAAATTTTTTCATGATTTGGTTTGGTTCTTAACTTCAATACATGTCTTTACCAAAATTAAAATAATTTACTTCTGACCAAAATTAAAATAATTTACTTCTGACCAAAATTAAAATAATTTACTAAGTATGTTATTTTTTTTTTTTTTAAATTTATTCATGATTTGGTTTGGTTCTTAACTTCAATACATGTCTTGACCAAAATTAAAATAATTTACTTCTGACCAAAATTAAAATAATTTACTTCTGACCAAAATTAAAATAATTTACTAAGTATGTTCAACACGGTCAAGTTTTGTGTAGTAATTAAACAACTCGAAAAATTTCAGAAAATTTGTAAAAATTTAAAAAAACTCACTTTTTAAAATCAAATTCACGTTGTTGCTTACGTCGACACTGACTATCAGTGCTGGCAGTGCTGGTGTCATCTTGCTTCAGTACAATATTCCTTAGCTGAGTGACATGGGCCTCTAGCTGCTGAACTCTGTTGATAAGGTCCTAAAAACAGAAAGAAAAAAACAATATTAAGACAAACGAGGAGTGGTGGAGTTCAGGAATAAATGTCAGAGATATAATAGATTTGTAATCACGGTCTGATATTTTATTCCCTTTTCAAGTTCAAGCTGAACATTTCAGATGATACATTTTTCTAACTAATACTATTCAAAATTATGTACTTTCACTTTGCTTCATTCCACAAGTGACTAATATGAAAAAATAGTCGAATGTCATCTTTGTCCACCAGTGCTTTTTTAAACAAATTTCATGGGCAAACTCAAATTACTTGAATAGGAGTATTATCAATAAGCCGCTGGGTAACTATTAAAACTGCAAATCTATGTTGCAACAAAAGAGTGATAAATGATAACTATTGTTCATATGCACTTCCCTTCGGAAATAAAAAGGGACAATAGACTCGTATAGGTGAAACAGAGCAGATACTGAAGTGCCTCATAGCCTTCTATTGAATTTTTTTTTTTTATAAAAATATACTAACTAATTAAGCTATTCCTCTTAATTTCATTGACCAAATATCCAAAAGTTTACCTAAAAATAATTGCAGCATTTGTCATTATTTAATGAGGCAGTCGCAATAACACGAGTAACCATCTCCCTATTATTATTTTAAATTGGTTAATTATGTTATTATGAATGTCATGATTTGAACGTCAAGCGTTAGGATGCTTATGAATAAATTGATGCTTTTGCACTTTTAAAATGTCCTCAACAAATGTTAAACAGATTTATAATTTTAAAAAAGTCCCAGCATGAAAATCACTGCTCTGACACAAATCAATATAATTTTTGAAAGACCATTGCATGCTTTTTAACAAGACATTTTAGGGATTCTGAACATTCACATTATTGCTTGACAGTTTTTTAAAAACAAAATGCATGATTCCCTTCACAGCATAACAGCATTTTTGGAAAGCATGCAAACATGCAAGATGTTGAAAATGAAATGCAATGTGCTAATTAATCATCATGCATTATTTGGAGCATAAGAGAATTCAACCAATTCCTGTATATATAATCAAAAAGAGTATTGGCTGTGTAGCCCAATAGATTAAGCTGAGAAAAACTTTTTTAAAATAACCAAATTATTATAGAAATAAAGAAATGATAGGAAAAAAATAATTGGAAAAAACAAAAAACTACACTGGTATTTATGTTTCAAGCTGCCCTCAAAATATTAGATACACTGTTTAGTTATATGTGTACATAATGTTAACTATTGAAGACACACTGTTCGCAAATCTATTTTGACAGCTGTAAAAGAATCATGTCAACAAAATTTGGGTTATGCAGGCATAATGTAGAACTAATCATTTAGAGAATTAAAACGTTCTGGAGAGTGAATTAACACAATTAAAATGACATTGACATGTTTATCCTTACCATAAATCTAAATTGATTAAAACACCATGTCTTGACTGGAATATGGTTTTCCAAAATCTGGGTTCTCTTATTCAGCTCATTATTAGAACAATGAAAGTGTCCCCATTAAAATGGTTAACCAGGTGTTTAATATTTAAAAATCACTTATTTTCATTGTATCTCCTTTTATTTTCAAACCTTTTATTACAAATTTGAAATGGAATATTCAAATTTTATCAGTAAAAGTTAATAACACATACAAACCTAAAGTGTAAACCATGCAAGGTGAGCAGCAATATTATTAAGCCTGCATGCAACCCAATAACTATTATTTTTATCTTCTGGCATTGATGAAAATTTCAAAGTTTGATAGAGGCATACCCCATTTATCATAGCTTAGCTATACTGTCACTTGAATCATAACTTTTTCACATTTATTGGCTACTTTTTTTGTACACTACCATTATTGTCAACACTTAAAAAAGTATGATTTGCAGGCCACACAACTGAAGTACATGAGCCTCACCTTGGTCACCCTGGTATTTATGTGCAGTGATTAGTTCATTTTCTGTAGTTCCCTTTAACAAAATGAAATATTTGCTTTTTTTTAAAGATTTTCTTGGGGCTAAATGTATTTTCAAGGCTCAATTGGTAACCTGTGAAATAATGGGATATGCCTGTTATTTAAAATCTGAGTTGCATCCAACACCATTATTAACAATATTTGCTTTGCTTTTAATTTGTGAAAAAAAAATGACACAATTAAGTCCAAGGGGGAAAAAGGGCATTTTAAAATACAAGACCATGCACCGGAGACAACCAAACCAAAGACTTAGCCAAGTGAAAATAAAAACATTTCTGGAATAGTAAGCATGCAAATACATCAAATCTTGTTTCTGACTGAAAAATGATTGAGCAGTGGTTCTCATACCTGTGACATGCTAAAAAAAAAATTTTTTTCTTAACTTCAGTTACTTTAAAGAAAACCAGAAACTCACTAAGAAAAAACATGACCATTTAAACAAATAATTTCTGCTTCAAGCATAAAAGTTTATTTTTAACTATTATTTTACAAAATTAACCAGTAATAAAATAGAAAGTTTGTTTAGCTGATATATGAAAAATAACTGCTGAATAGGCAGTTTGCTAAGGTTTGGAACAGCTGCTCATCATCTTTCCACCAATGTGTTAAGAGTAAAAATAAAACACAGCCATGGTTGGGGATAAGGTACACAAAAAAAATAAAATTAACATAATAAATCAAGATGCACCACAAAACCAAAGTGGGAAATCAACAGACCCAACCACCTTCCTCTACCTTGTCTAACTCTCCTTCCTCAGAGATTTCCCCAGAGTCATTTTCTATATCTTCTGTGTTTGTGCCTACTTCAGAGAGGCTGTCTTCAGCACAAATGGACGTTGGACTATCTTCTAGAGCTGCAGCATGTTGTGGAATTTGGAACGGTTTAAGGCTTCTGAAATTGCCCTTAAGGTATCGGCTAGTCGTTGATATAGATGCGGAATGTGCAGGAAACACCACGGGTGCTGAAGATGTGAATCTCAGTTGAGTTGATGAAGGAATGGAGTTGAAGATGCACTTGGGTGACCCTGAGGAAGGCGTGGCAGGAGAATATGGAATGTTATTAGAGCAAGTGCTCCTGTTGGCTGTACTTTTGTTGATTTTGTTTAAGTAAGAGGTGTCGTTGTGATTTTTCTCATTGCTTAGAGATGCAGTCATGTTGTTATAGCCAGAGCTGCTGCAAAAGTTGGAAGATTTCAAAGATGGAACGAGTTTGCTTGTTGCACTGCCCACCGTTAGATCTCGAGGAGAATCTTCAATCTTTATCTTGGGTGTAGACAGGTCCATAACATCAGAGATGGGCGTATTTGGGCTGTGCCCATTATCCCCAGTGGGCGGAGAGGACGAAGATGCTGGTATTGCTCCAAAACGAGGAATCACCGATGGGGGAGGAAGTAGGCCGTTCATAATCTCTGGTAACATTATATCTGTTAGAGATCTCTCTTGTTTAATAGAAATACTCAAAGGTGAGGGCTGGCCTCTCGCAAGGCCATTGCCATTAGTCATTGCAACAGCAGCATTTCTGGCAACAGTCATAAGATAAGATTCTGGAAACATTGGAACATTTAATGGGCAATGGGCCTGTCCAAGCAGAATAGAGGAATGAGTTGGCGGGGATGAGTTTGATGAAAGAAAAGAGGCACCATTCTGACTAACAGCCAGCATAGTAGTGGCATCTGCTAAAGGTGAAGCTCGCTGAGAGTTACTAAAATAGCTGTCCTCACTATCACTAAACTTAGCTTCATAGTCGGCCAGCATTTTATCCATATCATTTGGAGGATCTCCATCATCTATGTAACAGTTATGACTGCCAAGTATTTCAACAAACCAGTGATCTACAAATCCTAATCGCATTGTCAGCTTAACTCGAAAACTGCATTTGTGACCACGAACTTTGATTTTGTCACATCCTAAGGATAGAAAATAAAAATTAAGATAACTAACTTTTAAAAACTGTATTTTAAAACAAAATAAAATCAATCTAAAAAAACTGCCTACATGCAGTTTAGAAAAATGTACGAGTTTCAAGACTAATTTCTAATTTTGTTAAGAAAGAAATAGCTATTTGCATAATTTCTACTATAAGCATTATATCGAAATATTATTTTGGGTTAAAAAGCTGCTTTGCACCCACCTGATATACAACAGCCATAACCACCACAAGCTCTTTTGCAGCCTCCGGTTCCACTGCAGTATAATGTCTCTCTTGCAACTACTATCTGTCGAACATTGCGGGCTCTCCCAGCACGAACACTTCCATTTTCTAGAACCATTTTCCCAAATTCTGTCAAAGAGAATCGGTCATCCAAAAAACTGACCCCTTTGTGAACATCTACATATATCTTGTGTACCTCTCTGCCTTTGCGCAACATGCTAGCTTGTCTGTAGATTTCAACGCCATAAAGGTATTTCCGCAGCTCTCCACAGTTGACTTTGACACCTTTAAATTTTTTAGCATTGGTTACGGGTGTTCCATTTGTTGAGTTATTGTTGGATGATTCCTCATTGTGAGCTTCCTGTTTGACTTCAGACATTTTCTTAAAGTTCTTGTGTAATGTGCTATTATTAGTGACAGCAAAAGGTTAAACAATTATTAAAAGCCTCCATATCACACTGCATCATCATATTAAACTCATATCTGGAACATTTCTTGTCAGTGGCAGTTAGTTTCTCCACTCTTAAACTATTATTCCATTGCACACAGGGAGAAAACAAATCCAAACAGAGGGGCAATAATTTATGCTTCAAGAATTTGACCAAAAAAATTTGAATGTGTATTAGTGAGCATATTCAACACAGAAAGTTAGAAAATAAATACTAATTTAACATCTGAATATGAGAGCAAAAAACTATGCCAGTCGATAATCAGATAGTGAAATCAAGCAATCTGCTAAATAATTTTTTTTTTAAATTCTAGATGAATGAATGTATTATCTTTTATTTAAATCAGAAATAAATATTTAATTACTATAGACTAAAGCAGAGATGCTTAGATGACATCTACAATATTAGAAAATAAATTGATTTTATTGCTCTATTAAACAATTAACCAAAGCAATAAACAAAAAATAATAATAGCTAATAAGTAATGCATATAATTTATGTACTTGTGTTTTGGAAGCAAATTCAAGAAAACATTCCAAATAAAAATGATTTCTTGATAAATTAACCCCCCCTCAAAAAATTTTTAAGTAGTTCACAAAGAATCGCATAGAAAATAAGTTACATTTTAATAGGGTTTAGGGTTATAATTTGTAAAGTCGCACTTCAAGACTTGTGAACTAAAAGTCTGAATAGTAAAGGGGTGTTCAATAAAACTGATCTATACATACAATTCAAAAGTGATTTGGTGAGGAGGTGGGTGGGGATTTAGTGTCAACGTCAAAAGGACAAAGGCAGAGGTTGTATAGAAATAGCAAGTTATATTTTGATAAAAATGTGTAATTAGATTTGGCCAGTTTCGTAATAGTTTTGAATCGAAGAACAGTAGATGGGAAAGAACAGCCAGCTGGTAGATTAGTGCATAAGTTTTGTGGAGCAGGGAGAATGTAACGGTGTAGTGTCTAAGGTGTACAAAGTTGCTGAACAATGTATTTAAATCTGTTTAATAATACACCTATTATTATTATAAAACAAGTCATCTCTTCAAAAATTTTCACATCAACAAAATAACTAGTGTGTTTTATTCATTGCAGAAGTTCTGCTGTTCAACAAGAAAAAAGATTTTCAAGCTCTTAATTTTTTAAAATTTATAAACAATGTCTTTTAACATTTTTCCTCCCAAATTTCCACACTTTTTCTGAAAATATATACCCCAAAGTTAGTTGAGCAGCATATTACCTTGCTAAAGATATATTTTGCTTATAATGACATCTACACAATGGATAATGGACATACACAGAATACCTAACTAAATCTCAAATCAACTTCCCATAATTACATTCATCCTAAATATACCTGAAGCCAACAGATGGACCAGTTCTCATCCACAACTACTTGCATTATCATAATCATTACCAACAACCTATAGGTCATACCCTGAGGTAGATTGGGTGGCATTTAAGCAGGTGTGTGTGGAAATAATCCAGATGCTTATCAATTGTTAACCAAGTTGGTCATTTCATTTTCAAAGCTACTTTTATTCTTGAAAGCATTCATATTAACTGCTCTGACAGACTTTTTAAAATTATTTGAATATTTTACCAAAATGAGTGTATTTTCATTTAATTGGACCGATGAGCAGGTGTTCTTATATTTAAAATGAGCCTATGTTCTCATGATATGAAAATAAAATCACTTTCCAATTAATTAATTTCTAATTTCCATGACATAGCTACGCAAAATTGTCTTCTTGCTTTGCAAAAACTGTCAATATTTATAGAATGTTCATATTCTCAATCACTACTGTTAAAAATACAGAGTGTATACAATAACTTAAATGCAGTAGCTTTTATCTGGATATCGTTCTCCTACATAATACATTCCTTTTTCCTTTTACTACTATAGCATTGATTGTTGGGTAATAAGTATCTTGAAAGTATTGTACATTCTATTAATTATTAATTACAAGAATCTTGTTTGTATTTTAAAATTCTTTGACATCTGTAAGATAATTTTGAAAGGAAGACTTATTTAAAGTTTTCACAATCCTATTCAGGCATTTTGAAGGAAGGGCTTGTCAATTGATCAATATATTAGCATGGACAGTTTTTTGCTGTATCTGATAATAATAATGAAACATTTAAACATAAAAGCATTAAAAGGGGAAAATGTGTCTACGACAAAAAACTTTTGAGAAGTTCACTGAGACCCCCAAAAAATATGGGGCTTTTGAACAGAACAAAAGAGTTCTAAATTCAATTTAGCAAGGGAATTCAAAGAAAATAATTTGTTTCCATCTATCTTAAAGCTCATTTCAATTAGAAGGGGAAGAACAGTGGAGTAAAGTAGTAATATTTGTTTTGCCAGAGTCATTTGTTTTAAAGTGAGATATTTGACAAAGCATTCAGATCACTGACTTAATTTTAAAAAACTGATATTTGGGGGTTGGGGTTGAAAATTTGAAAGAATGTGTAGTCATTGGCAAATAACCTATGTGCCAAATTTCAGCTCGATAAGTTGACGAGAAATGGGTCCATTGGGCGTCAAAAGATTTTGTCAGCCAGCAATAAAAGCAAAGTTAATATAAAGAATAAAAAAATAAGACACCTGACAGAGCTCATCATAATTTATAATATTACTATGCTTTGCCACGGCTTATCAAAAGTGAAACATTTTTTTTGTGAACTACAGACGGTGCAGATTACTGAAATTTTTTGTTATTATTGTTAGACTAATTAAAAGCTGCACCAATGGTGGGATAGGGTCTTTAGTGGTACTTTCCTTATATTTAAATGGATAGATCAGAAGAATGTCATAAAATTTTATCATACAGTGTTTTCTTTATAAACCCAGTAACTCAGAGAACTGGAATTAGTCAAGTAGGCTAAACCTAGGATAGGATGCCACACGACGTCTTGAGTGAGAGTCACTTCCTTTTGTTTATTTTTAGAGAATTATTTGTTTATGTATTATTATTCATATGCCGATGGCATGTTTTGTATTAGTAAAGCCTGCTACGCATTTGATTTGTAATCATTGTTTTTTTTGGTTTTTTTCATATTCAACAAATAACAACAAAATTAAATGGTAAAATTTAATTATAAAAATGGCATGAAAAACATCTTCGCCACCCATTTTTTGAAGAGTAAACCAAGTTGTAATGTGCAAGAATATTATAATTAAGCCTGCTGAATTGTGTGAATTTAACAGAATTTCTTGTACCGTTATGATTTTTTATGCAAATTTACCGATTTTAATATAGAGAAACGTTTATTGACATGTAAAAATTGTACATAATATACATGCGGTCCCCCAATAGCTTTACATTAGTCTGTGTGGCCCTGCACACACAAGTCAAAGTTTGCTCACCCCTGTTTTATTTAGCTCTATAATTCAGTTAGTGTACAAAAAAAATATAATAATAAAGAGTAAAGAGACTCTGATATTGCCAAGCAAGGGCAAGACAGTAACTAGAGTAATGACTTCTTATATTCACCACTCAGTCTGAGTCCAGTATCAGTTCTTATTAGTACTATCAGTATCAGTACTCAGTTACATCCCATTGATCATTGAATATGATTGACTGATCGAAGTCGAAAGCATAATTTAAGTAAGTTAAGTGTCAAATGCGGGTAACGCGGCTCAGTCGATTTTTAAATGCTAAGAACAAAGTTATCTTTTCATAGCTTGAAAATTCTGATAATATATGGAATTGAACTAAATTTTTCGCCACGTCTGCTGTTACTCACCTCTCTAGACATATGTTCGAATGGTTCGGGTGTAGATAGTGTCGCAGCTGGTACACGATCGAAATTTCCGGGTGAAGCCATTTTGTTTATTCCCCACGCAGCGCCGTCTAGCGAACCCCAACACCCGTTACTCGGGTCATCACCAGACGGTTAGCGCTGTCACATTTAAATACGTCTTACTATTTTTTCTTTATTTATGAATACGTTTGTGGACATATAATTTTATTTTAGTGCCAGACCTAGCCCTAGGGTTGTGGTCACTCTTGTTTGGTCTGCTAAGTTAATTTATTTTATATAGCAAAGCAAACATGAATATTTATAACATCAAGTTTTGTATAAATATGGATTAATTATAAAATATATTATATTATTCATGTGTTTAAATAGATAAGTCTTACTCTTCTAACCCTCGTTTCTACTCTAAAGAATATAGGCCTAGACTATAGTATGGCTTTATTTCTATATAATCGGTAAATAAGTGCATTCAATGTATGAGAATGTATGTCATTATCTCTATAGCCCCATTTAGATAGGCTAATTGGGCCCATTGCCCAAATGATATACATGTGGCCTAATAAATGTGTCTACTGCTGTCTACTATAAAGAAAAATACGCTCACTCAATCAATGTCCACAAAAAAAGTGTACGACATAAGCCAATAATAGCCTAATATTACATTAAGGGCTAATTATGGGGCTACTTAAGGCTTAAAACAAATCTAATTCGAATCAACAAACAATATTTGGCAAGGAATAAAGGGTAGATGTATAAAAAAAAAAAAACAAAGTAGCCCTTAGGTTTTGACTGAAGTAAACTATAGAGACAGTACTGCATTTGATATACTTCCATTCAAACCCTTGAAACTAAATTACCACTCAAATGTGGCCAGTGTCCGGGATATCACACACACGCCTTAAAACAATGCACACGACTCGTACACGGCACAAACCCAAACAACAATGGCACAGACACGCGGATTCACAGGCTCACGTCACAGGACACTCATGTGTTCCACAACAGATAAGAAAGTTAATTGCACGCTCTACCCTAAGAAACTGATTGAGTGGGGGGAAGGGGCGGGACCACCGTGCCATAGGCGTTGAATAGAGCGGTGCCAAACGCCTGAGATCTGGTGGTTATGGTCATAGAAAGGCCCTTCTACCTACTTTCATATTGGGTGGGGCAAAACAGTGTCCATGTGGGAAGGGG